GGTTAGCATGGTGTGCCTTGGCATTGTGCTGCAATACGAACTAAATGTCAACAGGTCTTAATGCCCTGTTTCTTGCATGGGTTTTGCTTAACTCCAGCGATCTTTAATCATCCAGAAAGCCCAGAATGAAGAGATGTGGGGTTTCTCCCCTGGCCCCCACTCTCCCCCCACCTGAGTTTTCTCAAGTTCCCCACACAGCAGAAACCTGGAATTATGGGGTGTAGCTCTGACATCCTGGAGGAGGAGAAGCCCAAGAACAGATGCCCAATCTGGTGTGACTAAGCATCCCTGGGATTGTGGTGGGCTCTCTCCTGGGCGCGCCTGTTCTCCTTTTAAAAGCCACCTTTATGCAAGGGTCAGGTGAAGGGTAGACTCTTGGGGGAGGTGATGAGTAGTTTAAACTGGAATGCAAAGTTGATGGCCTGCAGTGTAAAGCTGTCCTCTCCACTGCAGCATTAAGAAAGAGGAAGATGGCCCAGAGGTGACCCAATGAGCAACAGCCTTTACCACAAAGGGGAGCCCAAGAGGGCCGGGGACCATGAGTGAGAATGGGGCCACAGGAATGGGATCTTGAGCGTGCCCTGCTTTGCAAAGGCTGCTGTCCTCCTGTCCCCCAATCACCTGGGTAGAAACTGCTGAATGGGAGCTGAAACTGCTGGGTGACCCTTCCCCCCAAACACACCCCCTTTCCTTTGTCAAGGACTCAGATGCACTGAAACAAGTGTGGAGCGTTCTGTGCCACCTCACCACTCCTTGGACCCCCTGCTCTCTACTCCAGGACCCCCCTCTTCAGAGCTGTCACACAGCCTTTGCCCAAGTGGCCCTTGACACCCTTGGGCAGAGACATCCTTCCCCTTCTCCTCTGTCCTGCTTGGCAGATCAACTGGTCCTGAACCGTGTCCTTGGGGAGTGGGACAGAGAGGCAGACGTCTTTTCCCCCAACTCTTGCCCCCAGATGCCTGGGGCAGTGGGGAGGGGCCTTTATAAGTGGGCCAACTTGTGTCACAGGCTGGCTGCTAAGTAAGTTTGAACACATCGCCTCCTCTCACGCAATCTTGTCAAATTGTAGCTGTAAAAGGTGCAGGCCGCTGCGCCTCCCGCCTCCCAGGACTATTTGCAGACTGCGTCCAGCCCGGGTGCCAGCTCCACCCTCAAAGCCCAGAAGCAAAAAAAAGCCCAGAAGCTCTGAGGACGTGGATGTGGGACAGCACACACTTCACCATTGATGTGCTCCCACAGCTGGCTTCTCCACTGGCCCACCAACCGGATCAGAACCAGGCCTTTGTCTTTGGGGCTGTTCTGTATAATGCTTTCAGTCCATTTCTTAAAGTATAATGTGCGCGCCCTCAGATGCATCCACTCTTAACACACAGTTGAGTAGTTGCATAAGTGTATACCCACACCCCAATCAAGAGTGAGGAAAGCTTCCGCACCCCCAAAAGGGCCTGCTGGCCCCCTTCATCCTCCATCTCCAGATCTCCACCTGACCCCCAGCAAACACCCCCCTGGGCTGTCCTGTCACTGTCCCCTTGTTTGGGTTCTTCTCACAGGCCCTGTAAGCAGTCCCACAGCCGGTACACCACGTGGCGGGTTAGTTTCTGGTAGCCCAGGGTTGCTTCACCAGGATTGTCCTCCAAGACGTTTGCTGGGTGAATTCGAACTGCCAGCCTTCTGGTTAGTAGTTGAGATCGTTAGATCTTTACCTCTCGTGGGAGAGATATACCTCGGTCCTTGGCTCCTCGTGAGAAAGAATTCACGCCGAAACCTGGTCTGTGATCCAAGTGAATTTTATGGAAGTTAGAAGCAGTTTCAGGTTTTACAGCAAATGGAACACAAGCCAGACTGTCCGCAGCACGGTTGGTGGGACGAGGCACAGCCGCGCTGAACTGTGTGTCAGCCGCTGGGAGAGAGCCACAGAGAGAACTTCTGGCCTCTTCAGGCTCCCCCCTGGGAGGCGTGGTCAGTGATACTGGTGGACCCCATTGGCTGAATCATATTCCCCTGACTTAGATGGGCCAATCCAGGTGTAACGCCCACCTAGGGGTACCCCCTCTTTCAGCTGAAGTCCAGAGCGCAAGTTCTGGGACTTACTCGCAGAGGGAAAGCACCCAAATATGAGAAAATGTGCTACCTCCTTGACTGCATGATTCGGCTCTACTTATTTATGTGAGTCAGCCTTTCCCCACATAAAGATCATTAAGTCCAAGAACCGTTCTGCCATGACTGATGATCATTTGGAAGTGTGCTTGAGGCTGGCCGTAAGCAGCTAATGTCCGGACTGTGCATCCCTGGCTCATTCCATTCAGTGCAAGTCATCAGAGTAAACTTAGGTCATGACAAAAAAATGTACATAATTGTGTTGTGCTGTGCAATATGGACTCATGCTGTTATGCAAGGTACATAAACATACACTGTCCATAGAAAGAATGCTCAATGCATTAATAAATAAATGTAATAAATAAAAATATATGTTTTGCATTTTTGTAGTTGGTGGATCATTTTATACGTAGCCCAAATGCTGAAAAAGTGTGAGCACCCCTCCTCTAGAGCAGTCAGACTGTACAGTCTGTCCCACCCTAAGCAGGGCCTACTCCCTTCTAATAAGGATAGTAGATGGTTTCCCTGAAGGAGAGCCCAGGGAGGTCAAGCCCACTCAAGGGTGACCAAGGTTAGGCTGCCATATTGAGTCTAGGGTCCGCCCATCTTGTCACATGTGTGCCCCTAGTCCCACCCCTTCCTATCGTGTGTACACCCCCAGCTCATCCCCTTCCTGTCGCATGCATGCCTATTGTACATCCCTTCCTAATCATGCCCCTATGTATATACAGGCCTTGGTTAGAAATAAATTGCAGAAGCTCGCTTCTCCCTCCCTGTCCTCCCGCTGTCTGCAGGGACCTGGCTGCTGAGAGCATGGACGTCCCAGAGGTGAGCATGCTACCATAAAATGTGCCCAACTCCTTTATTTCACTCTCTCTCCCGTCTTCCATGACTTTACTATAATCTTTATCTATTATGACCGCACAGTTGCACCTACCGAGCCCATGATCACCTGTTAGGGGCTGATTCCCCTCACAGGTCTGCGTTTCATTCCTCTCCCACAGCTCGATGAGAAACGCCCCCACTGTTTACCCACCCACGTGCCTCTGGGCACCGCTCACTCCCGCCAGCAGAGCGAGCCTCGACTCCTCGTGGTTCCACGTCTTCGCCAGCACGGATTATGGTTGGTCTCTTTGATGCTGTGGTTTCATCGCACCCTCACCTCGTGCTTCTCCTTATCTTTTCCTGGTGACCGGAGATGCTGGGCTTGTTTGCGTGTGCTTCGTGCAAGGTCTGCCAACACCTCTTTCTTCTGTTCAGAGTTGGCTGTTGGTTTGTTAGTAGATTGAGGTGCTCTTTTCACCCTTCTCCCCCCCCCCCAAACACCTAAATAAAATGCCTTGCCATCCAAGTAGCTCTGGCAAATCCAGCTTCCCGCCAACGTTCTAAAATAGGCCTGTATTCAGTTAAACGTGGCTTTCTAATGTTTATTATTAATACTATTTCTAAACCCTCCATTTTCATATTTTTGCCCCATAAGAAGTACCCTGGAAATAACGCACTGACTCTGAAGGCTCCCGGCTGGGGTTGGGTGATCCAAGAAAGGAGCAAGTTTCAAGGTCTGCAGGGACGGAGGAGACAGCGGGGTGGGTGTCCTGCGGTCGTGTCTGGAAACACAGTGAAGAACTGCTGTCTGTGCTGGATCTCCCGCGTGACTTCCCTGCTCTGCCCAGCAGCGCTGGGAACGTGGCGTAGCAGGGCGGCTCACTGGAGGGGATGGGGCCTGGAGCCTTCCACCAGCTTGCCAAGGTCAAAGGAAGATGGATGGATGCTTCCTGAAGAAAAACAAACCGGGTTTGGGGGGAGCGGTGGATTCTGAATATACAAGTTCCTTCTCAGATGGGTGTTTGGCAAATGTTTTCACCCTGTCATACCAAAAGCAGGTGTTTCATTTTGACAAAATCTGACTCACGGGTCTTTTAAGGTTAGTCTTTTTGGAGGGTGTGCCCTGCAGAAAGACCTCACCTTTCCTCCTCCCCTCCTCTCCAGTCTCACCCCAATTGCATCTGTTTGGGGTTCCACTGACCTGTCTGTTTAGCCTTCTGGGGACCACACCATCTTGAACTTCAGCTCCAGCTCCTCTTCCTCACTTGGGAAGGCTGCCCACTTCTGCAGGTGTTGAAGGGGGCGTTCCCTCCCTGCTCAGGGGTGGCAGGGAACTTCTGCAAGCCAGGAGGTCTTAGGGGCCGCCGGCTATGTGCTGCCTGTTCTCAGAGGTCTCTCAGGCTCGCTGCCGTTTTCTGGCAAGAGAGACCTTCACCTGTCTCTATCCCCTTGGGCCTGGCTCAGGAGCTCCGCACAGGTTTGAGGAGCAGGTACCTCTGTCATTAGCTCCAGGCCCGCCTGCAAGGAGCGGCAAGCCCTCCAGGGAGGGGCTCGTTGGCGCCCCTAGAGGTCACCTCGTGTATTTGCAGTTCTCTTCCCCAGGTGTCAGCCCTCTCGGGTTCAACACGTGGTCAAGTGGGTATCAGGGGATCTGGTGACTTCTCAGTGGCTGAGCTGGCAGAACTGGGTCCTCAGCTGGGCTGGGACTGCCTCTTGCATGGCTGTGGTACTCCCAGAGATTATCAGAAGGTCCCTTGTCAAACCCCCACCCCCACCCCAGGAGATGCATGTTAAACCCAGCCCTTGAGCAGATTCAATGGTTTCTTTTCATGCATGGTTCCAACAGCTTCTGCCTCTGTGTGGGATGGTTAGTGGTGTGTGTGTGTGTGTGTGTGTGTGTCTGCCTGCAGGGACAGGACTGGCCTTCCAACCCCAGCTCTCAGCCCTGTGGTTGTCCGGTATCCCTGTTCTCTGTTCCCATCCACCCTCTGGCCTCACTGCTCACTAGGGGCTGTATGCACCCCGCAGACCCTCTCGGAGCCCCGGATCCCGCTAGAAGCCACTGTCGGGGTCTCCACGCCCTGCATCCTCCACCTGCAAAAAAGAAACAGATAAAAAGCTCCCTCGCCAAACTCCCTCTTCTCAGTTCACCTCTTCCCCTCCCCAGGGCCCTGACCTGTCTGAGGGCAGCAGGGACTGGCCCCTCCTGCTCTGACAGTGTCCCTGGGGCAGCCCATGACCTTCAATGACACAGCCCTTTGCACACCTCTGCTGGCCTCTGGACACCAGCTTCTTGGGGACCACCATCTGGTCTTCCCTGCAAGGACTTGCTGAAGAGAGAATGGAGGGGCTGCCCAAACACAGCACGCCCTGTGCTCTTGGCTGCCTCGCTGCCCAGATTCTCAGGCGGGGCTGGGGTCCTCTGCCCCCAGCTCACCTGGTGAAGTTTCTGGCTCCACTGTGAACCAGGCGTGACCTTGACCAGTCAGGGCCCTTGTGGATCAATGCCACAAGGGTAATGTCAGTCCTGGCCCCCCAAGGGGAGCAGGCTGGTCGACAAAGTCCCTGGCACCATGCCCGCATGTCCTGGGCGTCTGGTGGAAGCTAGCTTGCACCCTAAGTATCCTCACAGTACATGTATTCACATACATGCAGTGATGCCACTTCCCAGCCTCTTCCTGGGCCCTCACAGAAGCCTGACTTCCTCTAGTCCAAGCTCTTGGGTTTCTGCCTGTGGCAGTGCCTCCCACCCCGCCCCCTGCTGAGGGAGCCAGGGACCCTCCGGCCTTGAGCAGAGGCCATGCTGCACCCACCCACACAGACCTGTTCTGTGCAACCTGGGCCAGGGGAGCCTGGGTGCAGATCTACACCCCGAGGGACCCGGCTGCTGAAGCTGCTGGGCCACATCTCTGCTCCCCCATGTCACCTACCCACCCCCCCACCTCTGCCCGCCCTCTCTGGCTCCCTGGTAATGTTCCTGTCATCAGGGGACATGGCCAGCAGCCTCGATTTCTGACCCAGAAGGCACAGACAGACAGTCTTGCCCTGCTGCCCGCCACCCACAGCTCAGAGGCCCCGGCAGCCCTGTTCCTGCCACTCAGACTGGTAGCAGCCGGAAGATCAGCAGGCAGGGGGAGGGTGGGGGCTACCAGCTCCTGTCTATGAGACTCAGGATGCCAGCTGGGGAGGGGACTGGGCCAAGTCCCCCACCGATAGATAGGCAATGCTTTCTGGAGAACCCCATCCTTCTTTTCTCTCTCTGAAGACCCTGCTGGTGTGTGTGGGCGGTGGGGGGGGGGGGATGAGAGGGGTCCAGAGTGAAACGCCAGGGGCTTGATACCCCTCCCACCACTACACTCTGCCCAGGTCAGCCCCCACAGCCCACCTCCCAAGAGGTTTGCCAGCTTCCTAAGCCCACCTGGCACTTGGCTCCTGAGACCTAATTGAGCCGCCAGCAACAGAGGGGCACCTCTGCATCCTGGGGGCAGAACAGCCAGAAGCCAGCTGAGGCCACGGAGCCGGAGCCAGGGTCGGAGGCAGCCCTCGCTCCTGGGCTCTTGCTTCAGGCTTCCTGTACCCTGCTCTCCGCCCCACACCCACCCATAACTGCCCCTGACACCCTTGTTTCCATTAGAGCGAAGCGAGCAGCAGCTCTTTCCAAGGACCCAGGGGTCACCTCAGACCCTGCCAGCCGTGGAGCTCACAGCTGAGAGCCGGGAAGGAAGCACCTGCCCCCCAGACAGCCTGCTCCCCTAGAGAGCCTACCCCTCAGACAACCCGCTCCCTCACAGACAACCTGTCCTCTGGACAGCCTGCTCCCCCCAGACAGCCTGCCCTCCCATCAGCCTACTCCCCTAGACAACCTGCCTTCCAGACAGCCTGCCCCCCAGAGAGCCTACCCCTCAGACAACCCGCTCCCTTACAGACAACCTGTCCTCTAGACAGCCTGCTCCCCCAGAGAGCCTACCCCCTCAACACCTGACAACCTGCCCTCCCGACAGCCTATTCCCCCTGACAGCCTATGCCCCCAGACAGTCTACCCCCCAGACAACCTGCCCCCCAACAGCCTGCTCCCGCAGACAGCCTACCCCACCCCAGACAACCTGCCCTCCAGCCAATCTACCCCCCCCCCGAGACAGCCTGCTCCCAGACAACCTGCCCTACTGACAGCCTGCTCCCCCAGGGAGGACCCCACCCCACCCCACCCCCCTGCTAGGCTGGCCCAGCAGCCCCCCCTCTCTCGTGCCCTCCCCATCCTCTGGAGGAGCTGCTGTCTCCCACACAGGCGCCTAGACCAACGCTGGCAAAGGGGGCAGCGCAGGGGGGTGTCTGTCTGGGCCTGAAGCCAGCCCCAGTCCAGGGAGGTGACCTTGGTCTGACACTACCTCAGGCCAGGAGAAGAGGGTGGGCTGTGGGTGAGGATGAGATGGCCAGGGCATGATAGACAGATCAGAAAGGATGACAAGATCAGATTGGGGACATGGAGCGGGTGCAGTGCCCTTTGGCCCTGAGCTGACAGGCCTGTCACCAGCAAGGCTGAGGCCTCCCAGGAGGACGGCTGGCTGACAGGAGCTGAGACAGGTGGTCACCAGCTCCTGGCCCTGGTCAGGTGGGTGGCCAGGCGCTGCCACCTGCCCTACTTTCTCGGTGACTTTGTGGCTCCCACAGAACCGCCTTGCCTGGGGAGTGGGGGATGGGGGTGGGCAGGCAGCTTCTCTTCAGTGCCCCAGCCACCCATGCGGGGCCGGCAGCTGGGCAAACGGCAGGAGGCAGTCTCTCTCTCTCTCTCTCTCTCTCTCTCTCTCTCTCTCTCTCCTGGGCTCCCGAGGGGCTGCTCGGTCCTGCCTCCTCCCTGCAGGTCTGGAGCAGGGACAGAAGGGAGCAGGGGCTGCCCTCCAGCAGGACCCCTCGGTCCCCAGCTGCCCCTGAGGCAGGCAGGCGGGTGGGTAGCTGAGCAGGGATGCGAGGGGAGGGGCTGTGCTGCGGGCACTTTGAGGATGCATGGCTGGGAGCCCATTGGGAGCAGCTGCCTGCAGGGCCTGCTGGGATCTCGTGCAACAGCAGCGGAAGTCTGCTTTTATCTCTGCTCGGATCGCCAGGAGCGTGCAGGGGAGAAATGGCAGAGCAGCTGGGGCCAAGGAGGCAGCCGCCTCGACTGAGCAGTCAGCAAACTGAGAAAAACAAGTGTCAGGCCCTTCTCCTGCAGCTGGGAATGCGTGCGAGCACACACACACACACACACACACACACACACACACACACACACGGACGCTGTCAGTTGCTCCCATCCTACAGGCAGCAGGGGTGTCATGGGCCCTGGCCTTGGTGTCTGAGCGTCTCAGCCCAGCAGCCAGGGCCTGGGTGAGCTCGGTTCTCTTAGCCTCGGCTGAGGCCAGTGCAGCTCCTGAGCAAGCAGAGCCGGCTGCCAGGCACCTGCACAGGGACCAGGAGCATGTGCCCTCCACTGGCAAGCTGGCCAGTGAGGGACAAATGACCCCACCTCTCTGTCCCCTCATTGATGACAAGTGGCCGACGCAGTCCTGAGGGCTATCATGAGCAAGGCTAGGGAGAGCAGGAGCCCCTCACTTGGCAGGCTGGGCCATCACTTGCCCTGGGGTGTGTTAGCTCCCCTCCCTGTCCGGCCACTGGGGGGGACAGTTCGCCTATGGACCCATGTGTTCCTCCCTCTGGGCGTCTCAAGCTCTGGCCCTTTTGGCCAGTGTGTCCCAAAGTGATACTGCCTCCCAAGGGACAGTGTTGGACCACCCCAGGGGGGTCTGCAAAAGCCAACCCAAACCAAGCTCACTGCCATCCCATCGCCGCCCACTCACAGCGAGCCTATAGGGTGGGGCAGAACAGGCCCTGTGGGTTTCTGAGACTGTAACTCTTTACCGGGGTGGAAAGCCTGTATTTCTCCCTGGAAGTAGCTGGTGGTTTCAAACTGCTGGCCTTGCCGATTGCAGCCCAACGTGGTACTCCTATGCCACCCGGGCAGCTATCTACACGGTTTCCGGTAGGATGGGCTAGGGCACAAATGTTTTTAACTGCAGGGGGGTGGGGAGCAATGAGTAGTGATTCTTTTGTTGTTGTTGTTGTTGTTGTTTTGTCTTAAAAGGAGCAGTAGGCTAAGTTAGTTTGGGACCTATGTTTTAGGACAGGAACGGGGAATGTCCGACGCCGTGACATCAGCAACACCAGCTAACACCCATGCCTCACCTAAGAGAAGCAGCCCCAGCCATCACTTGACGGGTGTGTTCATTAAAAGTTTGACCAAATCCAGCAGCCTAATTTTTACACCCATCAGTTTGCATGGCCTGAGACTGATGTTGTCCATATCCAGATGGCCATGGGCAGGAGAGAAAAAAGTTCGACTCCGAGGCAGGACAGTGTGCAGCGCAGCCACGCTCCGGGACCAGCCAGGTCTGACCTCCGGGAAGTGAGGTGGGACAGCAGGAGACCTCTGTCTTCTCGTGGCCACCTCTGCCCATTCGCTGTCTCCCTCCTGCCCCTGAGGACTAGGACGAGTCCTCCTGGGGTGCTTGGGTTAAAACAGAAAACCACAGCAGGGCGCCCCATCTACCCTCCCAGGCCACGCCCAAGGACAGACAGAAAACCCCCAACCAACCTGCTGTGCCCAGCAGGTCGATGCCGACTCAGAGCGAGCCTGCAGGACAGACAGAGTGGAGCTGCCATGCCAGGCTCCTTCCCAGGCTGCTGGTCTTTGCAGAAGCAGACAGCCTCATCTTTCCCCCACCGAGAGGCCGGTGGGCTCAAACTGCCGACTCTGTGGTTAGCAGCAGAGTGCTTCCACCACAGCGCCACCAGGGCTCCTCCAAACACCTGAGGGACTTCTGTTTCAGAGGCTACCCCGGGATACCCCCAGTCCTTTACACACCCCCACTAATCCCCCACTGCCTCGCCTCCCCCCTCCTGAGACCTCCCCCTCACCCCCAGCCCTCCAGCACCCCTGAGTCTCTAAGGCGAATCCTTGCCTGGTGGCTGGAACATTCCGGGCTCGAGATATGAGCTGAGACAGTGGCCCTGCCCTCGGCCCTACAGGGCCGCTCACCCTCCTATCCCCCCCACCTCCACCCTGCCTTACCTGCTCCCTGTCTGGAGGGCTGGGCTCAGCCGGGAGACACGCAGGCTTCCTTCTGAGGTGCTTTCTCCCTAAACCCAGCAAAGCCCTGGCATCAGGGGACTGAAGGCCGGGACCTTACCGCATCTCCCACCCTCCTCTCCCTCCACCCCCCATGCCTGGCGACTCCCCCAACAGTGAGGCTCCAGAGCACCAGAAGGGCCAGCTAGAGTTGGTGACGTTGGATCTGCCCCCAGCCAGCCCTCTGTGGAGCCCCCACTGGCAGGCAGCTTCTTGACAGGAGGCCAATTTTCCAATTAACTGGGGGGCAAGGAGTTAATAGGCAACCTGCTTCCTTCCGCCAGACCACACCAGGCCAGGCCCTGCCTGACAATCCCCAGGTTCAGCCTTTCCTGTCCGCACAAGAGGTGCAGGCCTCCTTCATGCAGGGGAGGCACACTGCCTGCAAGTCGGGGGAGCCCAGCACATGCCACAAACTGGACAGGTGACCTGGAGCTAGTCATCCCAGCCTCCCCTCCATTTCCTGAACCATCAATTAGCGAGAAGATGCTCACCCTGCCAACCCTCCAGGCTTGGGAGTCCCCTGACCCCAAGGGAGCTGACACAAGAGAAACCGGTGGAGAGACGAAAGCACCAATCACACGGAAAACCACTGCGCCAAGAGGGCTCGTGCCTGCAGCACTCGCTGTCCTGCTGTTAGGCACTGCCAGTCTGGACCCACGGCCACCCTAGGCGTGCACATGAAACCACTCCCTCCAGGCTGCACCCCGTGAGAGGTAGATCTCCAGGTCTTCCGAGCCAATGCCGGAGCCTGGCAATGCTGGGTATTCGATTGAAGGTTCAACAGAGCACGATGCTGCCCACTCCTGAGCCAAGCACCCCAGCCTTGCTGTGTTTGAAGCCAAGCTGAGGGGCTTGCCTCCAGGGCTCTGGTCTGCTAGCCTGACAGTCTCCCCTGGCTGGTTTTGGTTTTTTTCCCTGGAAGTACATTCTAGTCTTTCTTCATAGTCTGCCTTAGCCACAGCATCCCACTGAGATCTGGCCATTGTGGGGAGGCCCCTGGTATTTGAAATACCAATCCTACAGCTTCCAGCAGCACTCAAAACCAAGAAAACTAAACTCACTGCCGATTCCCAGGAGTAGAAGTGCCCCTGGGCGTTTCTGACACTGTAACCCTTTACAGGGATGAAAAGCCCTGTTTTGTCTCCCAAGGAGTGGCTGATGGGTTCAAACCACTGACCTCATGGATCACAGCCCAATGCATAACCAGTACACCACCAGGGCTCCAACCAGCATCACAACAACAGGTGATGCACCGCAGTGAGTCTTTGCCGATAAAGTCTTTGCCGATAAAGTCTGTGCTGAGAACTTCACAGCAATGGTCTTACTCCATCCCTCGCAGCCACTCTGTTATTAACCCCATCTAATTCTGGAGGCCAGGAGAGGATCCCTGGTGGTGTAGTGGGTTATGCATTGGACTGCTAACCACAAGGTCAGTGGTTCAAAACCACCAGCTGTCCCACAGGGGAAAGATGAGGCTTTCTGCTCCCATACAGATTGACAGTCTCTGAAGCTCTAGGGCACAGTTCTATTTTGTCTTCTAGGGTTACTGTTATTGCTATTTAAACATACAAGGGGCTTAGAAAGGTTTCTGAGGAAGTTCCTTATCTTCCCACCCCTTTTTCCCATGAACTTGTTGAAGGTCCCTCACATCATTCTCCTATAGCCACTCATGAGTCAGAGGGGAGCTAGGATTAGGACTCAGACTGCCCAACTCCTGGCAAACTAGACCACGAGGACCAGCGTACCCTGCATGTGGGGTCAGCAGCAGGCATCTTGGGGTCAGACCATTAAATCCATCGACTCAATTCTGCACAGTGATGGTCTCGGTGTCCTGGGCCATGCAGACAGCCAAGTACCTGACTTCCCACTGACACATTGGAGGTTCAAACCCCTGAAGCGTCCCAGCCCTGAAAACCCGGGGGAGCAGTCCTACCCTGCCACAGGGGTCAGCATGCGTCGGACCGACGTAAAGGCACCTAACAACAGCCTGGAGGCGGGGAAGGGGCTCAGAGATGCCGCTGTTTCACCCACGCCCAGGGCTCCCACTCAGCACCTGGAGGCCCGCAAGACCAAGTGGAGCTGGGACACAAGACAGGCCTAAGTTCTCTGTGTTCAAGCGTCTCCACATCCCTAAGAGATGCGTTGTGGGGGGTTCTCACTCAGAAAGAGACACAGGTGAGCCCATGTGTGCATGTTTGCTCTTTGTTTCGGCGGGCACGAAGATGCGCACGCGCGGTGTCCAGGTCACGGGAGATACTTCCTCATGAGTCTTCAGACAAGTGCCCCACTCTACTGGGGCCAGAGGTTGTAAGGAACATTTTACGCTTATTTAACCTCTTTGGAACCCATGGGACCTGGAATGCCTGCTTATATACCCCTCTCCACCACCTGCTGAGGTGTAGTGGGAAGCATCCATCCCACTTTTAATGTATGCTGCCATCTGGTGGGGGCCTGGATGATTGCATGAATCTGAAGAAGCGGGCCTCACCCCATCAACCTCAGCACCAGAGACCCCTTGGGACATATATGTCCCACTCATTTTAGCAAAACACATGACTACCAAGAGAATGTTCTCGTTTTGTTCCAAATCACTCTCATTCCTGATAACACGTAGTCATCACACACCGAAAAAGCCAAAACAGAAAAATAATCCAGCCTTTGAAGAGTTAATAAATGTGGGTTGGGCTCTCTGTGATTTGTTAACCCGGAGTCCCATTCTTCGTCCAAGGACACTGGCCACAAGGAAAGGAAATGCCTAAAAGTCTCCCCAAGTCTGGCCCTCAACAGCCACATGGCCTCAGTCCAGGGAAGAGTTAACTTCCTGGCCACAGGAGATGGTGTCCTGCCCGTGGGGCCGCCCAGCCAATGGCACTCAACACTGATGATGTCATATGTCTCCTGCGTCTTCGATTGGGGACTGGACAGCGAATCCTGCTGGAGGTTCAGGCAGAGCAGCCACTGGGGGCTAGGTGGGGGCGGGAGTGAGGGGGGGCAGGGGAAGTCCAGCAAAGGCAGGCCAAGAATGGCATCTGCCCGGTCCCTCTCTCCACCACTGCCTGCTCCTTCCAGAAGGTTGTCTGTTGGATGCTCAGCCGAGCAAAGGGACCAGCTCTGGTTCAGGCAGCCTGCCTACCCAAAAGACAGGGGCCTCCTGGTCAACCTACAGTACACACGCACGTGCACACACACACGTACCCCAAGCTGAGGCAGCCTTGCTCCCGCATCTGCCCTCTTCTCCTCTGCCTTACCTGCTTGAGGCCTGGGGGTCTGTTTCTGAGCTGCTGCCCGTCCCTGCCCCATCCACGTCACTGGGCTCCCTGTGGGAGGAAGAGCAGCAGGCAGAGCTGTGGGCAGTGCCCACACCCTCCGTCTCGCTTCTCCAGGGCCTGCTCCGCACCCCCTTCAAGCCCCCTCCCCTTATCCCAAGACTAAAAGGCACCTAGGCACAGAGAGGTCCCAGTCTCTACACCACCACCCCACTCTTCCCTGAAGCAAACCTCCCAGAGATACCCTACCCCTCCCAGCCTCTCCGGGGGTGGCCAGGTCCTCCCGCCCCAGCCTGCCCCCCACCCCCCATGGGCCCAGAAGATCCTCACGGTTCCACACGATTGGCGAACCACCGGCGCCAGAGCAGGGCCAGGGTACTGAGCAGAAACAGGGTGGTACACATGCCCCATCCCAGCCCAGGCCCCCCGTCTGCAGAAGAAGGCCTGGGGCCTAGGGCCCAAACACCCCCGCCAGCTCTGACTCGCTCTGCTTTGTGTCCTGAGGCTCCCGCTGGTGATGGATTAGGGAAGGAAAGCTCATTAGCTGGGTCAATGGACCCGACCTTGTGAAGGCTGATTAAGCTCGCTGGACCCAGGCACTGCCCCAGAGTGGCTAGCATGGCCCGGTAAATACCCCTCAGGCCACCCAGCACCTATTCTGAAGGTAAATACAAATGAGAAAGGGACTGGCCCTCCAGGGCCCCACAATCCAGGTAACTGCTCTGCCAAGCTCCACAGACCTGCTGCCAGCAGTGATTCGGGTGCTCTTAGAGGTACCTGCGGGGTCTCAAGGTGTCAAGAAACACTCCTGAGAAGAGCTGGGGGTATCGGCCTCACAGGTGAGCCAGGGAGGACCACTGCCTCAGAACAGCTCTGCCGGGGCTGGAGGGGACGGGGCAGAGGGAACTAGGCGCAGCTTCATAGCGGAGGCCAAAAAGATGACGGAGATGAGAGAGAGAAGGGCCCCGTTGTCTAGTTCAAGCCTCTCCACGCCTTCCTGATGACCCCCTTTTCAGAAAAGCGTATGACAGAGAAAGAAGAGCACTGCCAAATCTCCTTGCCATTGGGACCGAGTAGAACTGGCTCCCCTTGTGGGCCTCCGGGAGCAGACAGCCTCATCTTTCTCCTGCTGGGCAGCTGCACTGCTCTGAGAACCGGAAGAGCCCTGGCTGTTGGAACCCACAGGAGACAGATGAGGCAGTCTGGTCTGTGCAGATTGACAGCCCTGGCCACCCGGGCGGGACTGTTCTAGTGGGAAGAATTGACAGGAGGGCAGGGGGTGGGTTTGGCGTGGGGCTGCAAATGTATAGACTTTTCTACCGTGCAAGTACGTTGTCCCAAAGCATCCGGCACGCTTTCTGGGATGCGGCAAGCATGCTGCGCATGTGGGATGCAGCCCGATGTTCCCTTCTGACTTCTTTCAGCATCCACAGGCAGCCACCTCGAAGGTTGTTCTTGGGAGCTGCCAGCGAGTCCTTGCCGACTCAGAGTGGCTCTATCAGGAGGAACCAGTGGTCCCCCATCCGCACACACTGCTGTCTGTCGGCATGGGAGCCACGGCTACAGCCACTGTGTCAACCGTGTCCTTGAGGGCCTTCCTCTTTTCCACGCCCCTCCACTTTACCAAGCAGCAGGTCCTTCCCAGGGACAATGCTGTCAGGTGCCACTGGGAGGGCTCCGACCCATAGCGACCCTACCATGACAGAGTGAAACCCTGCCGTGCCCTGTGCCATCCTCACCATCACTCCCGTGTCTGAGCGCATGGCTGCAGCCAGTGTCCATGCATCTCCTTGGGGGCCTCCCTCTGTCTCACCGCCAAACCTGACGCCCTGTTGACCTGACTGGAATGATCAGAGGCGAGGAAGCCCTGCGTGAGCACAGGGGTGTGGGAACCGGAATTCGCCCCTTCTCTTCCGTCCTCCAAGACTCCTCAGAAGGGGTTAAATTCTGAGGCTGTCTGCTGAAAGTGAGGCCATGCGCTCCCAGAGGGATTTGCAGCCTCAGAAACCCAATGGGGAGGAATCAACCCCATGGCGGTGGTTTTGCTTGCCCCTGGGGTGGAAGGTCTCCTCCCAAGGCTTCTCCCTGAAGTATCAGGGACCTGGACTCTCAGAAGGAGGGGGTGTTGGAGACTGGGGGCACGGGGCAGGGAACTGTGGGCTGACTGGACCTGTTTTCACTGCTTGTCTGATCTCTACCTGGAAACAGGATTTTAGAAAGAAATGCATGAACCAAAGCTGAGGGGAGAAGCCAGCCCTTTGCAACTTGGACACCAAGAACTGCTCTTGAGAAGGACATGGGTGGGGCATCTTTAACAGCAGTCGCCTGGGCTCCTGGCAGGAGGGCGAAGCTTGAGCAGTTTCTATGGACCCAGTGGGACCCCCAAGTCTTTCCTGAAGCCCCACAAACATCCAGAGGCATAGGGGAGGGGCTGCCAGAGGGGGGCACATCAGGGCACCCAACTGGGCGCACACATACAAACGGCAAAGAAATAAAAGGCCTGGGCCAGAGGGGGAGGCTCAGAGGGATTTCTGCTCCAAGTCTATTCATCTTGCAACTGGGGGAGAGGGGACAACTTAGAGATGGTTCCTGGAGGGCACATAATGCTACACTCCGGACAAGGGTCATCAGAGGGCCCTAGAGAGGCCCAGGCACCAACTGGTGCGCTTGCTGTCCATTTCAGACCCTGCAGCCAGATGTGGGGCCTAAACTAGGCCTGATCCCAGGGTGGGAACCGCGAGGAACTTCTGGTGCAGTCTCCCAGACAGGGCCCACCAGGAAGAACCAGGGACTGTGTGGCCCCGTCCCCATCCCTCTGTAATGGGACCTCAATGGCAGATAGGTGTCCAGCCGCCAGCACTGTTGACCCCCAGCTTGACCGTGCTGTCAGCCCTGCCCCCTCTCCTTCAGACTTCCGCCCATCTGGACCAGAGTTCAGGGCAGCACGGGGTCCTTGCCTGCCTGTGCCATTAATAAGCCACGCGGGACTTCTTTCCGCTGCCCTGTGCCTGCACCCCCCGGTGTGTGTGGAGGGGGTGTGTGTGCTGGCCGGAAGGGCATGGGCCATAGGCTCTGGTGGCCCAACCAGGAGGTGAGCTCCAGGTCCCACAGCCATCCCCACGTCCGCAGCGGTAGCCCTAAATCCTAGGAAGTCTGAGGTCCCCGTGGCCCCCAGCGCTGGCTCGCAAGAGAACCCTAACCGCTGCCGCTTCCAGAGGGGTCACGTTCACCCCTTTGAGCGGGCGGGGGGCGACTCGCCACACGTGCCTGGTGGTGTGTGACTTTGAGTCAGAGCCCGGCCGCGTGAGAAGGTGCACAGCGACCCTGGGAGGGGGACGCTCCTGGGCGCACGGCCCCCTCCTCCCGAGGTCCCCCC